ATCACGAGACGCTTCCTCTGTTTATGATCAGTTCATTGAGATGGAGTCGATCGTCTCTGCAGCTCCATCTTCTGCTGTTCTCTGTCTTCCTGATGTTGTTCTTGTTTAGGTTTTCTATTGCCCGGTAAGGTCCATATCTTAAAGCAGTGTTTCTTACTGTGTTTCAGACCCTGTTTCGAGGCATTCGGTGGACGCCTCCTAGCTTAACTGCTAACCGACTGAGTTTATAACAACTTTTGCAACATGTGCCGTCTTACCTTCAAAACACAGTTCTGCCAGTTTACCGGAGCTGCTCGGTTCTGCTCGTGTGTCCCTCTGGGAGAACGCTAGCTTCTAGTGATTCACCGTTAGCCGTGACACGTCAATCAGATCAGCTGTTGGCAGGACATTGCTGAAACCACAGAGAAAGAGAGCTGTCAGCATCAGAGCAGCGCATTGGGTTCATTTAGCGATTACTTGTCCATAAAAATACCAAAAATCCAAAATCTCAAATATTGGCCTCAGTAATGGGCCAGTGTGATGATTGGTCGATCTGTGCTGACTACAGCCAATGACTTCCTGGTTGATGCAGTCATTAGACTCAGCCATGAATGCGATGAAGAAAATGTCTGAGGAGCTCACCAAAACTTCCCTCGACTTCAGCAAAGCAGGAAAGTCTCTTGTAGTCATTTCGAAGCAGCTGCAGATCCCAAAGTCAGCCGTGCCAACAGTAGTGTGTAGGCATGAAGTGCATGGTGCAGCTGCATCACTGCTACAGTCAAGAAGAAAAGCTAACGAGCTGCTGAGAGACGATTGGTCAGGATGGTCAAGACCCAACCAGGAGTCACCAAAAATTACGTCTGCAATGAGCTAGAAGCTGCTGGAACACTAACAGGTGTCGGCATCCACAGTCAAGCATGTTTTATACCTCGATAGGCTGAGAGGCTGCTGTGCAAGTAGGAAGCCTGTGGATAAACCTCCCAGCCTTCGTGTCTTCTCTCTCCTGTCGATGGTGTTCTGTTCTCTCTGGTTCTGTAATTACACGCTTCTGATTCACAGTTACCGACCCATCTCCGCAGAGTTTATTGTTCTCTTATGCACTGTTGTCCGTTCGCTATCCTGTTCCCTCTCCCTTACCATCGCCCAGTCCAGTCAGGGCAGATGGCCGCCCTCCCTGAGCCTGGTTCTGACTGGTTTCTGTCCTTGCCAGTTAAGGGGAGTGTTTTTTAAAGGGAATCCAAAGACAACTTTGGACATGATGGGCTTCTCTGGTCTGAGAAGCCTGACAATAAGAAATTCCTGGAGACGACATCAATTGGAGGTAACGTATAGAAATAAAACTGAATCATATTGAAACTTTCTTACGAAGAAAGAAGTAAAAACTACGACCTGGAACAGTATGACGTGAATCTAATAGAACATCTTTGGGGGATGTTAAAGAGAAAGTTAGAGCAACACAACCTCTGAATGGCAGATCACCTGTCCAGGAACCTGTGTTCTCCATGCTGAGGAACATCAAGTCTGCCATCAGAAGTAAAGGCAGACATGTGATGTGATGAAAAAACAAGAGTCTCAGTAACTTCTGTTGCCATGAGCCCCTCCTGTTGGCTCTGTACTGTTATTATGGTGGTTTTTAAATTCACATAAGATCACAAATCTATTAGTGAACTTAGAAACACTATAGTATAGAACCGCTGACAGTCAGGTGTGTACCGTACAAGGTGTATACTGTACGATGTTCAGAGGTGACGTGTTGTGAATGTGCATCATATAAACAAAACTGAACTGAATTGAATTGGGTCTGCACGGTGTCTCGGTGGTTAGCATCGTCGCCTCACAGCTAGAAGGTCACCAGTTGGCATCCCAGTGAGGACACCCGGGATCTTTCTGCGTGGAGTCTCCATGTTCTCCCCGTGCAGCGTGGGTTCTCTCCGGGTTCTCCGGCTTCCTCCCACAGTCCACAAACATGCTGAGGTTAATTGGTGATTCTAAATTGTCCGTAGGTGTGAATGTGAGTGTGCTTGGTTGTCTGTCTCTAAGTGTAGCCCTGTGATAGACTGGTTACCTGTCCAGGTGAACCTGCCTTGATGATGGATGGATGTATTTAGGTGATGCAACACGCGGATGTACACGCTTCTGTCGAATGCTGTACAAACATAAATATGAACGAATAGACATAAAAACATCAAGAGAAAAACAGTCTGATCCAGAGAGAAGAACCAAGACAGCAGCTTCCATTACTGCTCCGTCAGATACTCAGACTGGACGAATGTTATTAAAGGAATCATCTCATCCACTCATCAGACGTGTTTCTGTTGTTGGATTAAATCCCTCTGATGTTAACATACAATAGACAGGAACTGTGATGATGTGCTACACATCCAGCCTCTCTGACAACCACACAACATGTTAACAGAGCAAACCTCTGAGCCAACATCAGAGCCAATCAGCTCTCAGATCAGGTGAGAGCCCAGCACTTCCCATCATGCCCTGAGGCTGGCACACTGATCTGATGAGGTTATCATTAACAGCCTACATCAAAAGAGTCTTTATATGAAGCGATGTCCGCCCACAGGCCCACAAGGATCCGGATCGAAAGTCTTGTTTGTGATGCAACCAAAACCAGCTGCACCTAGAAAACATTTATGTCATAAAGAAAGACGAGTTATATCCTTTCAATCTGCCATCTTCAGCTAACACAGAAAATGTCTGCCAACGTTTCTTGTTGAGGTTCTGATTCTGTGTACTGTGTGTATAATAATGACAAAGTACTCAGAACAATATCAGAACCAGAACCTACATCAGTTCAACATAAATGCATGAACTGTATTAGAAGCCCAAATCCAACACAGGAAGTCTCAAATGATTCGCTGGTTGTTGAACTGTTATTAATCCATCTGCACATAAAAATGACAATAAAAGGTTCTAAACCTGGGACCATACGGTCAGAAGAGTCCACTGGACCGGGCTGTGTGTATAACAGGAGGAGGTCCAGATGAGCAGCTGACCAAAGTGTCTGAATAACTAAAAGTCCAAATTACTGTTGGATTTCTTAAACAATGAAACTGAGAGCTGAGGACAGCTGTGATGTAACGATATATTAAACTGTGACTCTGGTGGATAGCGCACCTGTCTGAGGTGAACTAAAGCACAGCTGAGGTCCTGATCCGTCCTGTGTCCGTGTTGGAATAACTCAGAATGAAAACTAATTCATTCAGTTACTGCTGCTGCTCCGTTACCACCGCTCTAGTTCCCTATTGCTCACAACTGTGTGTCTGTGGATCCTGCTGCTGTCTGATCCTGAAAACATTAAACACACCTGCAGAGAACAGCTCCAGACAGCTGGAAGAAAGCTCCTGTTAATGTCTCATCTGGAAAACAACCTGGATTATGGTCATGATTTGTGAATTTCATTCATCTTTAAGCTGTTGCTGTCCGTTTACTTTGCAGTAAAGTTTTATAAATATTAACTTGTAATTTTGGAGCTCAGTAGATTTGGAGCAAAGTGAGTGACAGAGTTGTGATTTTGGCACACAAATGATTTCTGAAAAGCTCGCTGTATGCTTTTGGCAGAATATTGCTGCTGAAATGTGGAGTCTGGTACCGCTGCCTGTGAGGTGTCCATCCGTTAACATGACGGGTCGGTTCAGACTGGTGCCGGGTTGAAAGTGAAATGTTACGAGGTCCAAGTGAGCTGCATCGCCAGTGCAAGTTTTCTGAAAACACCATCAGGGTTTGCACTCAGACATAGAGCCTGCATGTTAAATGGAGCGGAGTGCATATGTTCATCCAGAAAACATCCAGAGAACGTTCACTGCACAGCTCATGTGCCAAAACACCACCAAACTGTCTTTGGATACATAATTTATATCTATTAAGCAACCAAATAAAACACTCATAAAAACAAAACTTTGCTGTGATGAAAACAGATGCTCACAGCTTCAAAATTAATGAGACTCATCAGTTTATCCTCCACACACGATACACTAACAGGAGCGTTGTTACAGCTGATTAGAACCGTTCTCTCCACGTTTGTTTCATACCTGGAGCATCAGACAGCAGGAGGATCCATGTGTGCACCTCCAGGCCGACAGTCTTCACAGCAGAAAGTCTCACATTGGGCTGGAGGTCAGTTTCCAGCTGTTTCAGGCTATTCCTGCATAGTCTATGACACACCTGGAGCATCAGATAGCGGTAGAGCTGCACACATTTACACACAGTTCTCTGTCTCTAAGCGTAGCCCTGTGATAGACTGGTTACCTGTCCAGGTGAACCTGCCTTCACCCTGAGTCAGCTGGGATAGACTCCGCCCCCCATGACCCTAGTGAGGATTAAGGTGTAGAGATGATGTAGCCTCTTAATGTGCCTGTGTCCTGTTCAGGGCTGGGCAGGTGGTGCACACAGGCTCCATGAGTGCTGCTGTTAGAACAAGGTGGATGTGGCCAAGAAATCCCCAACCATGAGCTAAACGAGGCTACAAGACATCTCAGGGCTGTGGAGGAGTGTGGACGTGCTTATAGTCTGCAAATGTTGAAATTATTGATTACTGCAGTTTGCATCCTTTTAATTAGTGAATCTTGCAGTATTATCTAAATAGGCTCCAATCAGCATCAAGATAACATGACGATATGTTCGTTAACCTACTAATCCAGTGTGACAGGCCGCACTGCCACTGGCTGCCTTCTACCCTACATGGACCTGCTCATAGATAGATAGATAGATAGATAGATAGATAGATAGATAGATAGATAGATAGATAGATAGATAGATAGATAGATAGTGTGGTATGAATCACTATTTTAATGTGCATTTCTTTTCCCCTGAGGCATTGTATAAATAAGATGCTGCACTTTCAGCTGCTGTCGGTACCAAACAGAGCTGCTCCCTCACATCTGGAGAACATGATCTCTACAGCACCACAATGCATCTGTTCTAGTAATATGTTGTGGCACATTATCAAAAGAGTGGCATACTGTCATTTAACCTATATTCTGATCAAGCGTTCAGCCCGGGCCTGCTACCTATGGTTCGGTTTATTGGTCTCTGGCCAGGGTCCAGCATGTCATTCCTGGGTGCACGCCCCACCTCGCCCATCACACTGCCCTGGACACCCGATGCAACCAGAGAGGACTTCTAAGAGAGGAGATGTGAAAAATCAAGTGCAAGCCACTGCCTGTGGTGTCCCGGTCCAGCAGCAGAACCAGCAGCTCCTCACATAAACATGCAGCAGCCATGACACCAGTCTGTGTTGACTGGATTGCAGAAGCATCATCATCAGTAACAGAGAGCATCGTATTCTTCTGTGAGCATCCTAGCTGCTCCAGCTAGTGTTAGTGTGTGTGTCAGAGCCCGGCCTGCTGGCCCACAGGGCTGAGCTCATGTCTCAGGGCTGCTAGGCCCCAGTGTTGCCATAGGAGCCACCGACCTACCAGCTGACTGATGGTTATTTTCCGTGTCGATGCTGGCAAACAGCCTCCATGGAGCACATTAATAGTTCACATCAGCCTCAGAAACCCCCGCTGATGATCCCTGATGCAGATCAGTGTTTATCTGTGGCAGGAGCTGCATCATCCCACCGAGGCATCCACACCGGACATGTTTACTTCAGCACGGCCAGCACAACGCCTGCGTACCGTAATAACACCTCCATCAGCCAGTTATTATAACACGTTATTCCGTTTAAATCGCCATTAAACACGGTCCGATAATACACCTCAGCGGGATCAGCTGGGCGAGCTAAATATTCTGATAATATGATTAAAACTAGAGCCTGGTTGTAGGAAATTAAGTGATTGTTGACATGTCCCCTCGATGTTTGTAGCACCAGGCATCAGATCCAGAATGTATTATGACCCAAATAGAGAGCTAGCAGCTAGTAGCCTAGCATGTATGGCAGCTCTGTCGTAGCTACTGAGAACGCTCTGCTAAGCCGAACGTAGCTACGGAAAATCTGACAATTTTAGCTTGTCTAAGTTGTTGAGACACGAATATCAGCTTTAAAGATTCTCTCGGTATTCGTCTGAATAAGGACATCCCATTTTGCAATTCGGCTTATATCTAGTTAATATAAATGTGAGCATTTGAATAAAAATGCAATATTTGGAGCTATTTCGCCTGTTATTACCATTAGCTCCACTTACCAAAACACAACGTGGCGCTTGATGGCGAACGGTGGGAAGAATGATTAAAGTTAAGCTTTTATTTGCGTTTAATGTCCAACAGTGGACCACACACACGCCGAACATAAGATTACCGTGTAATGATTCGGACACACAATGGGTTCTCGCTTCGGAACGCACGTATTTTGCTAATGTACCGTCAAAACAATTCAATCGCCTGGTTTGTTAAGCTAGTTTGGCGTCGCGCCATAGAGCGACTCCTAGCATAGCAGCGAGCTATGCGAACGATGATGCGTGAATTAAAGATAAACTTCACCGACTCGGCACGAAGGGGTGGAGGGTACCTTTGGAACCAGACGGATGGAGAGAGCGATCTGGGGGCTCCTGCTGTGCCTTTGCCTGGGAACCAGCCTGCCGTCCGAGCCGCTTCCACCCGGGTTGGCGGGACTGGAGCAACGGGACGTCGTCGGTCCTGTGTTGCTCCCGGCTACTGAGGAGGAGGAGGAAACGGAGCGGGTTGGGCTGTGCTGCCTTCCACGCACAAGCTGGTACGACACCGTGGCGCGGATAGGCTGCGGCCGGAGCGTGGAGGTGGCGTTGCTACAGGAAGAGCGCAGCGGGCTGGAGGGGAGCAGCGACTGGAGGGGAGCCGCCGGGGGTGCCCCGCTGCGGGGACGAGCCACCGGCTGCTGGGGATGCTGACATGAGCAGCCCGGTCAGGTGTACAGGTGTTCTCCAGCTAACAGCGTGGGCGGGTTACGGGTGATGAACAGCTGGAAACTCAACCTTTGGGTTTTCAGTCTGTCCATAACAACGAACTTTGTCCTCTGACTTTGTGAACTTCCAGAGTTTCGACACAAACAGAGGACTTGCAGAACCGAGTTGGTCTAGATATGTTTACCACCTCCGTCGGACCACTCTGTGGTTCTGGGGACCGCTGTCCTGCCGGTCTCCAGGACGGTCCGGTCCCCAGAGGGGTTGGACCGGGGGCGGGGCCGAGCCACGACGAGTGGCCTGTGATTGGTGCCGGACGAGTACCTGGACACGTCCCGGGCTGTGGCCAATAGGAATGAGCAACAGGTTGCGCGGAAGTGATTTGAGGGCGTGCTATTGGTTGGTGGCCTGCAGCCAACAGGTTTATCTGTATAGGACAGAGGTCAGGGCCCCCATGACTGACTGGACCCAGCAGTGAGGTCCACCCTCAGAATCTGGTACCAGCACAGGAGGCAGCTCAGATGTACTTCTGCTGCTATATTAGCTGCTTTGTTGAAAAATCTTCTAGTCCAGAGATCTCCAGCTCTGGTCCTGGTGAGCTGCTGTCCTGCAGGTTTTAGATGTCTCTGTGCTGCAACACACCTGACTCACTTTAATGGGTCATTACCAGACGTGTGTAGAACTTGACAACAAGCTGCTGGAGATCCATTCATGTCTAAAAACCTGCAAAACAGCAGCTCACCAGGACCAGAGCTGGAGATCTCTGGTCTGTTCCAACGTGGTTCATGTGACTTTTACTGTTCGGCACCATACAGGCCTTAGAGCTTTTAGGGATTTTTACAGTAATGGTGCTTTTTGTAGTTTCTGCAGATTTATCAGGTGAGTTTCATCCTCCTCCTCCTCATTTTTTTCATTATCTACAAATTAGACACCACATTAAATCTGTTTCCAGGTTTTCCCTCTTTACCTTCATATCAGTTATGGGATGAGTTTCTCTCCTCTGACCCTGTAAAAGTCATTCATCTCAAACATGTATAATAAACTCCTGTCTTATGACGACTAAAGCTAGGACTGCCTGGGAGGCTGACCTTACACGACAATTAGTGGGATGCCGCCCTTAATAAAACTCATACTGGCTCAACCTGCGCTCGTCTCGTGCTTATTCAGTTTAAGGTGTTGTATTTGGGTACTTTCTGTTGTCATTATGATTTAAAAAGAGTAAACGCAGTTGTTTGACAGAAATGGCTTCACCTAACCACCAACCATGAGTGAAAGAAAAGGGTTTTATGTTATCATTCATGTTCTCTGAAAACTGGCCAAGAAATCATAAATTCTTCCAGGATGTGTAAACTTATGAGCACAACTGTACAATTGAAACCAGAAGTTTACATCCACTGTATAAAAAGACATAAAACCTTTTTTTATTTTCTCACTTCCTGACATAAATCAGATTAAACTTTTCCTGTTTCAGCTCAGTCAGGATCACCAACATTATTAATATTTGCTAAACACCAGAATAATGAGAGCGAGAATTTTTTATTACTTTCGTCAAAGTCAGACATTTACATCCACTAAGATCCTTTAAACTGTTTGGGAAAGCCCAGATGATGATGTCATGGCTTTGGAAATTTCTGATTGGTTAATTGACAGCATTTGAGTTACCTTGAGACACACCTGTGGATGTGTTTTAAGGCACACCTCAAACACACCACTGCCTTTGGTGACAACATGGAACATCTAAAGAAACCAGCCAAGATATCAGGAGGAGAACTGTGGACCTCCACCAGTCTGGTTCATCCTTGGGTACAATGTCCAGATTCCTGAAGGTTCCATGTTCATCTGTTCAGACAGTTCTATCAAGTATAACCACCATGGGAATGTCCAGCCATCATAGGCTCAGGAAGGAGACGGTTCTGTGTCCAGAGATGAAGTGTTCTGGTTGAAATGTGTGTATCAACCCCAGAACAGAAGCTAAAGACCTTGTGAAGATGCTGCTGAAGCTGGTCAGAGAGTCATTATCCACAGTGGAACCAGTCCTGTACCGACATGGGCTGGAAGGCTGCTCAGAGAGGAAGAAGACCTCACTCCAGAAGAAACATAGAAAAGACAGATTACAGTTTGTAGATGCACACAGGGACAAAGAGCTTCATTAGTGGAGACATGTCCTGTGGTCTGATGGAGCTAAACCTGAACTGTTTGGCCTTAATGACCATCAGTGCATCTGGAGGAAAAAGGGGGAAGCTTGAAGCCTGAGAACACCATCCCAACTGTGAAGCACGGGGGTGGCAGCATCATGCTGTGGGGCTGTTCTGCTGCAGGAGGGACTGGTGCACTTCACACAATAGATGGCATCATGAGGAAAGAACATGAGATACTGAAGCAACATCTCCAGACATCAGCAGGAAGTTACAGCTTGGACACTAATGGGTCTTCAGATGGACAATGACCCTCAGCATAGCGCCAGATTAGCTACAGAGAGGCTTCAGGACAACAGAGAGGCCATCACAAAGCCCTGATCTCAGTCCTGGAGAACATCAGTGGAGCAAGGAGACCAACAAACCTGACCCAGTTCCACCAGTTCTGTCAGGAGGAATGTGCCAGAACTCATCAGACTGTGGTGAGAAGCTTGTGGAAGGAAACCCAGAATGTTTGACCCAAGTCATAGAGTTTAAAGGCAACGCTAGCAGATACTGAGGAGATGGATGGAAATTTCTGACTCTGAAGAAAGTAGTAAAACATTCTCTGTCTCAATATTCTGGTGTTTAGCAAATAGACACAATGTTGGTGATCCTGACTGAGCTGAAACAGGAAACGTTCAGTCTGATTTATTGCAGGGAGTGAGAAAAAGGTTTATATGTCTTTTTATACAGTGGATGCAAACTTCTGGTTTTAACTCTAACTGGTCTTTACAGGTGTATGGAAATGTTTATTACATGATATTAACATTAACATTCTTACCTGGACAGCAGATTACCTGGGTCGTCCACCCAAACAGTGCTCAGTGGGAGGAGTCGCACTTTATCCTCACTTTTCTGTTTAACAGAGTTTTACCTGAACTTTTTATTTCTTACCACACTGGTCATTTTATTCCTGCCAATCAGTTATTCTTCTGCACTGACAAAATGGTTTAATGTCATCAGAACAAATGATTCAACATTTAGACGGGTTAAATTCAAACAGCAGATTTATTTGTAAAGTAAGTTCACAGTCAAACCAAAGCACACATCAACAGGAGTAACACAGATACAGAAAAGGTTTTAGCACAAGTCAATAAACGAGAGGCACGGCAGGTTGAGGAATTAAAAGTTCAAACAAATCAATTCACTGTTTAATTGACTGATTATTCTTGTACATTTCTGGGTAAAGTCATGACTCAGCAAAAAAAAAATAAAAATCTCCTCAGAAAACTGTTTTATAAAGTTTGTATTTGCAAAACAACAGAAATCGGGCATCAGCGCAGTAAAAAGGTTATGTCAGGTAAATCCATGTGATCTGTTCAGAACATAATTCAGTGAACTTAAAGACGGAGCTACAACTGATCTGTAGCTCTCTTTATCAGTACTCGTCACTGTCACTGAATTATGTGTGAAATGGCAAAGATAAAACAATGTTTACCAGCAATAAAGAGTGTGCAGCTTGGTTTATGCAGCTCCTTCAAATTCTAACATCAGAACTGATATTTAAATAAAGGCCAAGACTTAAACAACAACCAGGAAGAACAAACAAAGGCTTGTTACCAGTTCCTATCATCAGCACATGTGAATGAAACTCCACCTCTTCTACAGGCTGTTCATCATGAACATCTACAGCAGAAGGAAGACCTAGAGATGTGAAACTCACAGGAAATGGAAGGTTTTACAGATAGCTCAACTATCACAAAAAAACAGCAGCCGGTCACAGGTGAATGAAAAGTATGACATTCTGGTTCGGTTGATTATTGAATTAGTTTCTGTGGAGGCTTCAGAGAGAAACAGAGATAACCGGTTGTTCTCGTAGATTAATGGTAGCAACTGGACTTATCAGGGCCCAGTAGGGCTCCTTCAGGATATCAGTATCTGAACTCCCAACGAGTCAGTCAGACCTGATGAAGCCTCCTGGATGAGAGGTGGAACGTCTTCAAGGAACAAGTTCAATTTCAAGCAAGTCCAGCTGCTACGATTCATCTACGAGAAGGACCATGACCTGGAGGACTGAGAACCTTCATAGACAGAGATAACCGTCAATATGGAGGAAGTGCTGAGATTCTCACTGAGGTAAACCACGGCTCCACTGCTGACATGTTACAGTATGAGAGCATCAGGCAGCGAGCCCTGGCTGAGGTTAAACAACAACAGGCGTCTCCACAGCATGTAAAGGATCACATCAATAAAACAAAGTGGTTTGTGGTGCTCAGAGCATGTAGTTGTATAAAAGTAATGCAGTCCAACCTCCAAGAAACACCGTGTACACGACACGCTGCAGAGGTCAATGATGAACCAGCAATGACATAATAAACACAAGGAAGCAAGAGTGAGTAAAAAGGAGCCTGAAGCGAGCAGAACCATGGTCTGGACTAAGGGAAAGGCCACATACAGGGAGCAGCAGTCCTGATCACTGGTAGGGAGCATCAGGTGTAACATGAAGGGTTATTGCTGAATATAACGTCCAACGATAATATAAATAGCAACATGTTGTTAATTAAAATCGTCTGTTGTCACTTCATTGTTCAAGAAACGTCCACATGGTGCAGGTCTTGCATAAAAGGATTATTCCAAAGATCTGAGAGGAACCAGTTCAGTAAATAATAAGAATCAGGTTTAATACAAATGGAGGAAAGAATTAAAAAGAAAAGTTATTGCTTTATCATCTATGTTTGTCCTCCAATGAAGTGGTGTCTGTAGTGTTTCTGAGCAACAGTTGACAGCATGAGGACCACAAACTGTGTGACATGAACATCTACCTTCTGTTGAAGGCAAAGACTCAGAACTTCCTCTGGTGAAGCTGATCAGGAGAACCTGAACCGTTCCTCAGGTCTGCTGCTGCAGGTTGAGACTTCTGAGGGACTTCCCATGTTGCACTGGGCTCCTCTGTCTCTCCTCCACCGTTAGACGTCACTAACTCTGTGTCTTCTCTCTGACTTCATGCCGACCCAACCAGTCGAGGCAGACTCCCTGTGCCGGGGTTTTCTGGAGATGGTTTTTGTCTTTGCTGGTATCGGGGAGTTTTTCCTTCCCACTGTCGCCACGTGTTGCTCAAAGGGACTCCAAAGAACTCTTTGGTGTTTGTTGGTTTTGTTGATGACACTTTCCAACATGAAGCGCCTCAAGATGCCATACGGGTGCATCTCACATAATTAGAATATCTTAAAGTAATTTTTAAAAGTTTTTTTCATGATTTAATTCAAAAAAGGTAAACTTTCACATATTCTATATTCATTCCACGCAAAGTGCAATATATTACTGTGTTAGTTTAGCTGATGATGGCTTCTAGCTCATGAAAATCAGAAATCCAGCATCTCAAATTATTAGAATTGTTATTATTTTTATTTTTATAAAGATCCATCGAAAAAGAATTTACAATACAGAAATGTCAAATTTCCTAAAAGTATGTCCATATATACATGAACATGTTTTTTCTGGCCAGTCAAGCACTGTAAACCATCTGATAGTAGTTTTGGGCAGGTGCTAAGAAGTCAGGATCTCCACAGAGCTCGTCAGCAGATGGAAGCTCCTGCTGGACGCTGTGGGGACTCTGTCAGTGATCCTCTGCTGAACCAGACTAACAGAAACACAGTGTTCATACTGTTTAATTTTCAGTTTTCTCAAACTTGAAATGAATATTTTCAATATTTTGAGATTTCTGATTTCCATGAGCTATAAGCCATAAATCATGAAAGTAAAACAAAAAAAACCCTTAAAATAATTTACTCTATATGTAATGAATAAATAATATCTAAACATTTACCTTTTTGTTGTTAATTCACAGTGAGTCTAT